TGTCATAAGGACAACAACAAAGAGCGTCGGGCGACATTGCAGCAGGTGGCTGACCCACTGAGAACGTCAAACGTCTGTGCAAGAGCAGAAGAAGGCGCAGCAGCCAATCAGAGGCAACCTGCCAGCCAACTCTCTCCCTACTTAACGGTTCATTGGCCCTGTCTCGCATTTTGGCAATTTACAGTTACAGTGACGCGTTCAGACGACATTTGTGCATTGGGCATGGAAAATGACAACAACAACAACAAAAAATATTCAAATTGTGTGCAAACAAACCTGCGCGCATATTTAATCAAATTTCCCAAGTGACTAACATGTTTGCCGTCTCTCACTCTCCCCCTTCCACTCCCACACACAGTGCTAACATTTGCCAAATGAACTCCGCAGTTGACAAACAGCCTGCGGTAGACAGAAGAGAGCGCACCAGCAAAAGATAGATAGAGAGCGAGTTGAATGCCATTGCTGGACATTTGTCCTTGAACCTGCGGCCTTTTTATTTCGTGCCAGTTTCATAGGATTAGTCATTTCTTCGAAAATATTGGAATACTTATACAAGAGAAAAGTAAGGTAAACAAAATCAACAGCTCTTCGTGTGCATTCAACCCCCTTTTCTACTGGCTTCAATCGAAATTTCAACTTGTTGTGAAATATGCTCAGCACATTGACACAAACCAGAGGTTAATGAAATTACCTTGCTAATTTTTGTTATTTCAATAAACCAGTTACTTATATTATTTATATATTTTTTAATAAACCCAAGTTGCTAACACGTCCCGAAAATGTATGTACTCCCACTTGTTTTTTGTGAAGGGTCCAATGAACTTAGTAGTGACAGCATTTTCGCCTCTCTTGGGTGGCCGAGCACATTAAAAACAAACAAACAACACTTCAACAAAAATATGTTTTTGAATGGCTAGCAAAATTATTGATCCAACACAACGCAGTAGAGAAACACTATAACATGAATATTTCTGTTAGCAATTCTCTGGATATCATAACAGCCTCGTGTACTGTTTACAGTATCTCTTCGAATTTTCCGGAATTGTGTTACAAACAACAATCACAGTAAAAAAATGCAATGGAGCCAGAAACCTACTGAAAACATGTTTCTCTTAAAATTGTCGAAATGACCATAAAAAATGGCATATTAAACAATGTTCAAGCTTTTCATCTATAAATTAAATAATTTAATAAGTTTTTTATTAATACACTTTATTTTTAAACCGCAAAACATTCAAAAATCACTTTTTGGCCTTGTTGAGAGATATATTTACATACAAACGTGCATATTCGTACATATGTACATATATAGAAACATATGCATGTATTTTCCTAGCAGGCTTTTAAACTGTTTAACCTCAATGCGATTTCAGTTGTTTTTTTTTTTTTTTTTTGTCGACTAGCCAAAGTTTAATGAACGCGAAAAATGTGAAAATAAGTATTCCAAAAATATGTTAAACAGCTACAAGTCGTAAAAACGATTTAAGTATCTTGGATTTTAAATAACATGCTTCAAATTCAATCCGAAGAAGTTATGTTATTAACATGCTTATCTGACAGATCCATGTAAATGAGCTATTGACGCTGTTAAAAAAGTTCGTATGTTAGATGCTTTTTAAATCGGGTGCGGTGCTGTACACAACATAAAGCGCACAGCTGTCTTCGTGACATTCATACGCATTCAAGCACACGCACACACTTAAGAGCCGTTATGGAGAGTATATTAGCGCTCTCCAGTGAGAGAGCTAGTTCACGATCTGTTGATTGCTGCACGCACTATAACAAATTGCAGCGTAAAGGGGGAGGTCAACAAGAAATACATATATGCTCTCCGAATTGACGTCAAGTTGTTACACACTGTTAAATGTAAATTACAAATTGACAATAAGACGCAAAGGCTAACACGCTTTAGATAAATATGTGTATGTATATGCATATAGTTGTTGCTGGGACAGTTGCATTGTCAAGTTCAAGTAAATCAATTGCTTATATGTATGTATGGCCATGCTCACACACACACACACACACACACACACACACACACCTATATATGCAAATAGCCAAACAGTCTGAATGTGAAATGTTGTTCGTGGTGTGGTGAGTTCAGGTGAGTTACGATTTGGGGTGAATTGCAGTGGGACAACGCAACAAACACCCAAATAATACCATTCTTACGCTCGCACATGTGTATGTGTTTGCGCAAGTGTGTCAAGGTTGAATGCATGTGCCCCATTTCAAAAGGATTGATAGAAGACGAGGTCGATGCCGCTGCATTGACCAGGCCATATTACCTCCCCAACTCCCCGCAAATCAATTGTAGACTCAAGTGAGTCTAGACTGAAAAGCATTTACTCACCATACGAACGCAGGTCGGTCACGTTCTCCAAATCCCGTTGATGCGCCTCATTTTCTAGATCCAATGGCGTGCTGTTGCTAGTTGGCATTGCATATGTTGTGGGTGGCGTAGCTGCTTTTGCTGCTGCTGCTGCTGCCGCCGCCGCTGCTGCTGCAGCCGCTGCCGCCGCATTGTTGTTGTTTTTGGGTTGCCTGCTGTTGCTAGTGGTGGGCGATTCATCGATTTCCAGGTCGCTATCCTCCTCCGTTTCTTGGTCGTAATATTCGATGCATTCATTCTCGTCGCTCTCCGCATCCGAAATACATACAACATCTGCCGCAGCATTCTGGGGCGGCGGAGAGGCCGGTGAGGCTGGCGAGGGCGGCGTCGGTATTGTGGATATGTTATTACGGTAACTGTATTCCATTCGTGTGCTTGTTGCTGTATTGGTATTTACGTTTTGCTTCTTCTTCTTATTGTTATTGTTGTTGTTGCTGTATTGCCGCCCGTTTGCGTTGCTAACATTATTGTTTTGCTTCTTATTGTTGTTATTATTATTATTATTATTGTTGTTGTTGTTGTGGTTGATAGCTTTCCCGTTGTTAATTTGCCGCTGCCCACTGGAGGTCCCAGAACTGCTGCTTGTCTCCACGACATTTTGCTGATGCTTCAATTTCGGATTTTTGCTGCCGACTCCGTTGGTCAAGTGCTGCAAGGGCTCATCATCACTCTGTCGTCGTCGTTTGGTCGTCTTACTATTACCGTTCGCCGTCATCGTGTGTCCATTGACGAGCTGTGCTGAGCGCATTTCACTATCGGCTAGCGGAGGTGCTGGCGGGGGTTGTTTCCGTCTGCTCTTTGCACCGCTGGTGTTGCTACTTATAATTTCGCACTGGTTGCGCTGTTGTTGTGATTGCTGTTTCTGTAGGCGACTCATTTTAAGTGACAGAATCTCTTCGGCGTATTACGCTTTACGTTGCAAGTTGTAGATGCTAATTGCAATAACTGTTTAGGGCGAGTTACAGCAGCTGATAAACATGTCGCTTAGGAGCCGAACGGGCGAGAGGGAGCTGTAGAGTGCAATCGAAAATTAACACGCGCTCTCTCTCTCTCTCTCTCTCTTGCGAGTCTACCAGTTAGTCAACAATATGGTACAGTTTGGACTAGAGATGAGCGCGTGTCGGCTAAATTTAAAGAACGAACAGAATTATTATTTTTTTTTATCGATATTGTTATATTTGAAAAAAACCCGAGTTCACTAGATTTTAATATTTTATGAAGACCAACTCGGTATTAATTTGTATAATTGTAAAGTAATAAACTCAATTACAATAATTGCATTTGGTCGAAGTGTGTTTTGTTTATACACAGGCACGAATGCATCACGCGCTCATCTCTAGTACAGTTTGGACACAAGCACCGACTAAAAAAACTCTGAAAAAAAAAAACAACTACAACTCACCTCAGAGCAATAAAAGGCGCAAATATGTCGGCAACAACAATTTAGCACAATTATGTTTGAACACGTTTAAAGATGTTGGATGCCAGGCGTTTTATTATTTGCATATATATATAATAAATTGTTGTATATATTTTTGCTTTTTATTTTGTTTTAAACCCTTGGCTTAGATATTATTCAACCATTTGTTAATACGAATTTGTGATAATCACAAATTTCATCAATTGCGTTTTGCGCCTGCTTTTCGTATGCACTATTTTTCTTTCGTTTTTTTTTTTTTTTTGCTATGGGTCTTTCTTATTACGCTCGTACACACACATACAAACACGCAGGCGTTTTTCGGCTACGTTTCACGGTTGTTTTGTTTTGACTTGCAGATTCTACAGTGCAATAGGCCTGATTTATTTAAAATTCCAATTGACGATGAAATCGATTTTGGCGGTATTAAAAAAGATTTAATTTTATTATATGTATGTATCATACGTGTGGATTTTACAAGTTTTTACCGCCGCTTTCTACTTCACATACACACACGCACATAAAACCAACACCAATGCGGCGCGACGCTCTTTGCCATCTGCTTTGCGCTCTCATTCTTTGCCACTTATTTGCTGTTGCATCGACAATAAAGCACACGTTTGTAATAATTTATTAAGTATATTTCAGCCAGCATTGTACGCGAACGGCTGCAACTACAAATGCATTAAAGCAAATTGTAATATTTATTTATTAACTCATTGGGTTCTTTGGTAATTTCGATAATTTCCCGACAGCGCGACCGAACACATTGAAGTTATTTATAAAATGAACTGGTATGCGCTGTTATCGATATGTGACAACGCTTTATATGTATCGATGATACATTTAGTGAACGGGCACGATCGAGTTTTTAATAACTATTACTATAAGATGTAAAGAAAATAATTTTCCGTGCCGCAATTCAAAGTAGCGTTAATATTCTTGTACGGTTTTGGAATAAGTTAGCAAAATTAAAATAATTATAATACTCACACATCGATAGGGCTTGGCCTATCGGTGGCCATTCACAGTAAATGATAAAACAGCTGACATCCCTTACAGAAGCCATGCAATCGATAGGTTTTAGAAGCGGATCGGCCAAGCCACCACAAATTATTAAAATGTGCTCCTGAAGCTTAGTATGCATCTTAGCATTTTGCCTAATGCTTAGTATTAAAAATAGCTATGTAGTATATACTGAAACAGATTCAAATTTGTTTACTGTGTTTTTTGAGATCTTTTGGCATGAACAATTTAATATTTAACCATAATGTCTTGCAGTTCTTTGCGTTTTAAGTCTGGCACCTTGCAATTGTCTTCCGCATAACCAACAGCAAGCAAAATTAACAGTTTCTCATTCGTTGGCCTCTCGAGCAAACGTCTCAAAGCAGGCCCACAATTAAGGGGGGTTGTGACTAGCGAGCAAAGTCCAGCTGCTTGAAGAGCGCACAGTAATATCCCGGCAGCCATGGACGTTGATATTTCATTATAGTAATGCAGCTTCTTGCGTCCATCTGTTGTGGTACCATGCGTTTGCTTAAAGATAAGAATCAGATAGGGCGCATCCGTGAGATATGGCTTGACTGCATTCGTGTGCAAGGGTCGCAGATCCGTCACCCACTGTGCATGCATGCGTGTGCTATAGTTGATCTGCTCCTCGTGCTCCACGATCTCGCGCACAGCCTGCTTCACTGCCAACTGCTCGATCACACAAAACGTCCAGGGTTCGGTGTGTGCGCCGCTGGGCCCCGTGCCGGCGCCGCGTATGCAGTCCTCTATGACGTCTATTGGTGGCTTAATGTTGGCGTTAAAAGCACGTACACTGCGGCGACCATGCATCAGCTCGTAGAAACGCTTGCCGCCACTGGGATTAAGATTAAGGCCAGGTACAAATGGCACATGTGGCTTCTCCTCCAAGACGGGCTGAATGCCAGAATCAGCCAGTGTGAATTCAACTGTGGAAGAGCTACCCGCAACATTCTCTTCTCCCTCCAAATATTCGCAGATCGAAGTCTTTGTCCTTGTAAATCGCTTTCGATAGTTATTGATGTATTTAATGGTCAGCGCGACGAGTAAACCAAGCAGAATGCTGGGCCAATGTCTAAACAGCTTGGAGCTGCTCAACAGTGCTTCCATCTTGGATTGCAGCTGCGGGAAGACTGTCGGGCGATAAGCGACAAGGCACATCTCTTTCTTATCTAACAAAACTTGGTCAGGGCCGGCGAAAAACTGGTTGATAAGCGAGCTAAAGTGACGATTTTACCGCCTACGTGGATTGGCACAATAGGGGCAGCCTTGGGATTTAAGGTGGGCCAGCCGGGATGGTCCGGGTTTTTTTGGATCTGGAGGTGGATCGCATTCATTTGGACCGCACGTGCATTGTGACGGATCACCCCTTTTGTGAATCATTTGACGTTTGTTTACTTCACGGAGGATTTCAATAATGCGCCACTTGGCATCGAAGAAAATGAAGTCGGGAGCGAATTCAAGCTCCGCTCTTATCAAGTCGAGCAGCATGTCCACCTGCTGGTCTCTAGGAGTTTCGGGCGTTGAGCCGCGCGGGTCTTGAGATTTACGTGATTCATGACTTGCCCGAGATACACGAGAGTGGCCATTTGAACTCCCCGCATTTCGAGTGTCGTGCTTATGTTCAACACACGACATTGGGGCATCTTCACTATTGTCCGCTTGTTCTGGCGCTTTAATGACTGCAATACACTTGTAGCGCGGATTTTGAACACAGACTGCTTTACATTCATAGCTTCCTGAACTAGCTAGTTGTTCATAAGCTGGACACTCACAACTTTCCTCTAGCCCAGCTTGCGAAGCACGTTTATTGTTTTCCTCTTGCTGAATCGACTGCCGCTGAGACTCTGTTGTCAAAGCTCGTTTTTGCTGCTCCGCATCAACTGGCCTCGCATCGCTCGGCCGCTGTTGCTGTTGTTCCTGCAACAGGCGCTGCGGCGACTGCTGCTGCCCAGGCTGTTGTTCCTGAGATAAGCGCTGCGGCGCCCTCTGTTGCCCAGGCTGTTGGTCCTGCGACAGGCGCTTAGGCGACTGCTGTTGATCCTGGGATAGGCGCTGCGGTGAACGCTGTTGTCCAGGCGGTTGTTCCTGCGACATGCGCTGCGGCGACCGCTGTTGCTCAGGCTGTTGATCCTGGGATAGGCGCTGCGGCGAACGCTGTTCCCAAGCCTGTTGTTCCTGGGATAAGCGCTGCGGTGACCGCTGTTGCCCAGGCTGTTGTTCCTGCGACATGCGCCGCGGCGACCGCTGTTGCTCAGGCTGTTGATCCTGGGAGAGGCGCTGCGGCGGCTGCTGTAGCCCAGGCGGCTGTTCCTGCGACATGCGCTGCGGCGACCGCTGTTGCCAAGCCTGTTCTGGCGGCTGCTGAGTTCCCTGCTGCTCTAGCATCATTGGCTGCTGTTGCGCTTCCGGTCCTGATTGTTCCTGTACCGGCTGCTCTCCTTTGCGCGAGGGCTTAAAAATCATTGGGTTCGAGCTCATGCTGTCCGATTGCTCTCTGTTTTTCGTTTTCGTTTTAAAGAATTGCATGCCAGACGCAGACGAAGCATTAACAATGTATTTATTTCTAATACAGCTCAAGCCCATCGGATTCCACGCCTTGCTAGAAGAGGTGCGTATTTTGCTGGGCCCACAGCCGGCTGTTTGCCCATCAGGGTCTATCGGCTGTTCAGATGGCAGCGCTTCGTCGGTGTCGTTAAAGTTGATATTTATAAAGGGCACCAGAAACAGAAACTCATTGTAGTATTTAATCGAGGGCGTCAAAATTTCGCCATAACGACGACGCGCATTCTCAATGATGGCGTATTCACGTTCAAAGGACAGGCGCAGCTCCTGCAGGCAAGCTTGGATTTGTGGACCTGTTTGGCTTGGGAACGAGCGTGCCATGTCTGAAAAGTAAATATTTTCAATTTGCTTATTGCCATATTGAGGGTTCTTCGGATTGTACAGATTCTCGTATGTCGAATATAGACTTATCAGCTTGCGTATATCAATGTCGTCGAGAGGTGTTTCTATTTGATCCGTGCGCTTCCTACTTGACTGAACTGTGGATTTGTTTCCAGAGATAAATGGAAAGAACTTTCGGAAGCCGCGAAGATTCTTTGGCTTATGGTTTGGAGCATCATTGGTTTCTTCCACAATGTAATCTTTAGTTGCGTTGTCCTTGAACCCTAATGCTTCCCTATCGGAGCTCATCGTTGGTGAGATATCGCGTGCCTTCAACGTCAGATCGGAACACTTGAAATAGCTGTGATTGCGTCTCTGTTCCGTTCTCAGCAATTTGACGCTTCAGCAGGTAGAATTTGGAGTTGGCGTGTAGATAGGGAACAAAATCATTCAAGGGCAGCAGCATTATTACTGTTTTAAATTTTGTAACATTCTAAAAGAACAAAAAACACAAATTTGAATTGTTTGAAATGATCTTTGACGGCGCACGTACTTAAATTTATCGACATTTACTTCAATGCAGCCCTAATCAATTTTTTGGCTATGACATTTTTCAGCACTGTAAAAGCAAATGACAAAAAACCTAGTTTTACTTTTTACTTACATAAAAAAAAACAGTATTGTAACAAGCCGATAATATTAAGAATGTTTTGCACTATAAATTCAACAACAGTTGTTGCTCATGAATTAAACATTAAGAAATTTGAGTTTTATTGATCACTGTTAGGTGCACTGTTAAGTAACAGCTGTCTGTCGTCCGATTCTGTAAACTGGCCATGGGGCAACAACAAAGCAACAAAAACAAGTTACGTGAAATATAAATGGAATAATAGACAAATAAGTAAATGGCATGGCCAGCCTTGTGATTACAGAAGCACAGAATTCGTTCTAGTCCGACACACAGCGTCAATTAAAGCTGTCATTTAATTGAAACTCAGAGCAGGCTATGCAATTGGCATTGGGAATTTGGCATGTGACGTTTCTCGTACTAAAACTTGCTGTCAAAACCAGCCGGGGTGTTAATTATATGTTAAAGTTTCAGTTTTGATTTCTCCGTTTCGGCAGATTATCAAAAGTATTAACGCATATACGAAATAAATACTCGGCAATTCAGCTAACTAGTGAAGACTAAATATAACGTGTACACTCACACACACACACATATATATATATATACACACACATGAAAAGTGCAATAAATCAATGCCCAGCAGTGTGAGACGGAAGTGAGCAAAACAGAAACAACAACAAAGACCAGAAGACTGAGCAGCCGTAACGGGATATTGGCGCAAGCTACAAAAGAATTTAACATTACATTACGCGTTGGTTTATTACATTTAACAACCAAAAATGGATGAAGTTTTTTCACTGCACATGGAAAAGCTCGATGTCTATGACGGTTAGTAGAGGGGAATTGTTTAAAAATATGTAAATAGTATTAGATATATTAAGAACAATTGCTCGTTAGTCATTTTGGTTTGATGTCCTCGTCGTCTTCGTCGTCCGTGGATTTATTCAATATCTCGTCAATAAGGCGATCCTGTTCTTCATTCTTTTTGCCCTGCACAATCATTTCCCGCAGTGTTTTAATGTGCTGCTTTTCTGAATCAATTTTTGCCCGTAGTTTTAGGTTCTCATTTTTTAAATTGTCGATTCGCAGTTTGCGTTCCTCGGCGGTTTTTTTCGTCTTTTCACGCGTTCGCTGCACTGCCTTTAAAAATAAACATACAGTTAATATTTTTGGAAATGCTATTTTAGGGGGTCGCTCATCTAGGCTAGCAACATTATCGATCATTTTATTTACATTTACCTCGTTATTCTTCTTTCTTTTCAACTTGTACGCGGGATCTTCTGTCTGTGGACTGGTTTCCGTGCTGCCGCTGCTTGTGGACGGTGTTGCAGTCCTTCTCCTGGCTGGCATTCTCTCGGTGATAATATTAATTTGTATTTAGTTTTATGTTGTTTCCTTTTATCAGCTGAAAAATGTAGCCAGCAAACAAACACAAGTCGTTGTGAAATTACAACGCGAATAATGTACCAAAGCGTAATTGTAAAACATATGTGCCCTCTTGGAGCAAGTGTTGTAAAGCGTCAGCAGCCATTGCCCATGAGAACAAATAGAGATGCGGTATTATACAATTAATTTATCGACTTCAGTGAACTATAGAAAAATTACAATTTTAACATGATTGTCTACAATAGTTAATTACATTTATTCTTACGTCCCTGAAACATGTATGGTTTTGCTCACAATTTGGTATTATTTTTGCCGATATAAAAACTATGTTAATACAATTTGTTTGTAAAGACTGATTTCTTGTATGTAGTTGAATAAGATAACAAACTTGAACGCAATAAATTTTAAAGCAAACACAAAAACCATAAGTATGTGAAATGTTATGCGTATAAATAAATAAATAAATATTTAAAAACCCAACTCGCGCCTTCTATTGGGGGCAAATTCACAAATCGATAACACACGATAATGTGCAAGTTTTGCAACACTCACAATTATTATTTTGCTACCGGCTTGGAAAATGTCTTCGCCTGCACCGCCAAAGTCGCCTGAATTATCAGATAAAAGCAAAAAATATGATAGGCAAATCAGGTAATTATGTGAATACGCTTAAACATTGTGATTGGCCTAACATGACCCCAACAGGCTGTGGGGTGACCACGGACAGACATTGCTGGAGACGGCCACAATTTGCCTGGTCAATGTGACAGCTGTAGGCTGTGAGGTAGCGAAGGGACTTGTGCTGCCGGGCATTGGAGGCTTTACTGTGGCTGATGGCAGCACTGTTAAGGAGGAGGATTTGGGTAACAAGTAAGGCGGCAAACAAAATATGTTCTGTTCAATTGTATTGACTAAAAGCTGGAGAGTAGCTTTTTTCTAGATTATAGTTACCTGGGTAAATCGAAGGCACTTGCGTGCAAACAGCTGTTGCAGGAGCTCAATCCGGATGCCAATGGTGATTATGTAGATGAGAGCATTGACTATATTTTGGAAAATCGGGCGAACTTCTTTGAGAGCTTCGACCTGGTGATTGCCTCAAATCTGAACGAGCAGTCACTACTGCAGCTGTCCAACCGCTTGTGGGAGTCCAATGTGCCGTTTGTATATTGTCGTTCACTGGGTATGTTGGGCTCCATACGCCTACAACTGAAGGAGCACTGCATTGTCGAAGCCCATCCCGATAATCGTCAGTTTGATTTGCGCCTGGAGCAACCATTTGAGGCATTGCGCGACCACTTAGAAAGCACAGAGGTGACAAACAAGGTACCCTGGCTATTGGTGCTGTATAAATTCCTGAAAGCTTGGCAGACTGAGCATGGAGCTGGGCGACAGGCGCCTGGTAACTATAAGGAAAAGACACAGTTGCGCGAGGCAATTGGAGCAGCAATGCAGAAGGATGAAGAAAACTACGAAGAGGCTATAAAGGCGGTTAACACTGCATTTGGCGCTGGCCTGGTGCCAAGCTCACTGAAGGCCATATTCGAGGACGATGCCTGTGAGCAATTGCACAAAAAGGTAAGGCGCCCAGTCTGAATGGTCCATAACTCATACAACAATTTTCAATTTGCAACAGAGCGATGTCTTCTGGATTATGGCCAAGGCACTAAAGCACTTTGTGGTGGAGGAAAATAAGGGTTATCTGCCACTGCCGGGCGTACTGCCCGATATGACAGCGAATACGGACTCGTACATAGCACTGCAGCACATCTACCGCCAACAGGCTTTGCATGATGCCGATCAGGTGTACCACAAATGCCAAGAATATCTCAAGCAATTGTCACTGCCGGCGGACAGCATAGACGAACGCACTGTCCGTTTGCTGTGTCGTGAGGCTGCCGGTCTGTCGGTGCAACGTGGCACACGCATCGCCGATGAGTACGAGAAAAACTGTCGCCTGCTGCCTCTGGGTAAGTGCCGCCTGAGTGAAAGATCGAAAATTTGTAAATAATTACCTGTTAAACCGATTTGTAGTGGAGGACAATGAGCTGCAGGGCAATTTAACCGTCTACTATTTCGCTCTTCGTGCCTATGAGCGTTTCCTAAGCGAGTGCGGCAGCATTCCCGGCGAGTGTACTGTGGAACAGGACATTGGACGTCTAAAGACCATCACCAGCAAAATGTTGAACGACTTGGGCCTGCATGTGGCCATCAGCGACGATGTGCTGCACGAGATATGCCGCTACGGCGGCGCCGAGCTGCATGCTGTGTCTGCGTTTATTGGTAACTATATACTATGGTAATGTCATGACGTATGTATATGTATCAATTTAATTTGATTGCAGGAGGATGTGCTGCACAGGAGGTGATCAAGATTATTACCAAACAATACAAACCAATCGATAATACTTTTATCTATAATGCTATAAGCACTGAAAGTGTAACGTTAAAGTTGTAAATGAATTCCTTATAATACAATTATACGAAATGGAAGATTCTTGAAGCATTCAGAAACTTCCCGAATCTGATTGAACAGTAAAACAATACATATTATTAATGGTGTCACATTTCGGTAAGGGGCAACTTGTTCTGATCAATTTGTAGTTTTATATTTATTAATCATATCTCTGCTTATGCTCTAGATATTGTAAGCGTTCGATTACGCATGTTTATGCTGTGGTATTCTTGAAATAGTACTGTGTGTATACCTCGGTGTTGGGACTTATATTGTAAATTCCATTTTTTTCTTTTTTTTATAAAAGCCCAGCACAAATTCTTTTGCTCATATGTTATCTTACATTCCTGTATTTAATTGTGTTCTTTTAATTCTCATATGCGGGTTCCTTCATTGTTTGTATAGAAATTCGTTGGCATCATTTGCGCCAAACGCAAATATTTGACTTATATTAATTTAATTAAGTTTATGTGTGCTTTTACATGTACAAATAGATGCTAACGAATATCAAACGAATAGACAGTACATTATATGATTTAAATAGGCATTTACTTACAGTACACTTGCTTATAACAACAATTCAGTTTAGTTTTCCTCTTATTATTTGTTTTTTTTTTTGAACTTATTTCGTTTTAATTTTAACTTAGTTTTTAGTTATTTCTAATAACTTCCCGCTATGTGTCTATTCCAAAAATCTTTACAATTAATTAACAAAAATGTACACAAGAAGACTACCAGGAGAACAATTTATGCCTATTTCATATTTTTGCATATATATATATATATATATATATAATATATAAAATTAGGCGTTTGGTGTTCAGTTTGTTAACTTTACCTGTATGTAAACACGGTCTTACTGGCGGCCCATCGAAGCAGCAGCAGGAAACATAGTCCGACTATATGTTGCCAAGTGGCATGAGCCGCCCCAGCACCCCCGTGATGCAGCTCAGCAAAACTTTCGCCTTAACGAACCAAATGTGATTAACAATATTTTGTAGATGTTGCGAAGGCAAAACTTACCATTTAGTATGTGCACCACTATCGTGAAATTTTGATACTCGCTTATGGAGCAGGTATAATTCCCGGAATCGGCTTTGTGAATTTTCGCAATGGACAATGTGGAATTCGCACCATCTTCCATCAGTTCAGTTTTAACACTAGCAACCAAATAAATCGGAAACAAATAATCAATTAACAATGAGTTAGCTCATCTTGTAAGGGTTTAGCATAGTCTTACCTAACACCACCTCGTGTTACATCATAATTGAGTACATTTTCGCTGTGTTTCCAGAAAACAACGGAGCTAGTCATAGCCACATTTCGCACCACACAGGACAGCTGCAGCGTGGAATCAATTTCATAGTATTTCTCCTGCAATGGATCCCCGTATTCATCCACAATCATCACCTTTGGCGCTGTGCGTGGAGGGAGATGCGTTATTAGTTGTATTAATTCGAAAGTTGATTTCAAGAATTTCCTACCATTGACATGCAAGTTAATTTGTATGACGCGGGGCGGATGCGTTGAGATCTGGCATTCGTATGTCGCCTCATCGTCCTTTTTAACATTTATAATTTTCAGTCGCCAGTTGTTGGGATATTGAAATTCCATTTTATAGCGCTTATCACCTGTGTAGGCGTTCAGGCCAACAGTCAGTAAATCCAATGCGTTCTCCTCATTTTGCGCACTACGACGCACCCAGGAGACCTGTCAATAATAACAACAATAAAACATAGCTTCGTCCAATGTTTCTATATAGTCATAGCTCTCGTCATTTCTATCGGTCTCTCTGCTTTTCTCTATCTCTCTCTCTCTCTCTCTCTCTCTCTATTTCTTGACTTTAACTAATACTCTAACGGAAATAACACTTTAATTTGTTTCTATGAAAATCGCATAGAAGGGCGATATAATGCAATGAGTAAATCAAATATGCTGCAATTCGTTCTCCTTGATTCACCTGCTCTTTCTCGTTGACTTCTTTGCACAAGAATTTTTTATTTAATTTTCTTTTCCCGCCCGCTTTCTCTCTGTCCGTCTCTCTCACTCTTACTCTCTCTCACACTTTTTCTCTTTTTTCTTGCACTTTTTATCTCTCGCTCTCTCTCCTTATAGCCCGGATCAAGTTACGCTCGTTCTTGTTCAGCCCTGCTTACTTGCTCTCTCTCGCTCTCTCACACTTATCTTTTCAATATCGCCCTTCTATTCGATTTTCATATAGATATGTGATAGATATGTATGTACATCGATGCGACTCTCATAATTGTGTAGCTCTCCCATATATAGCTATACTTCAGGCCTTTGTTTTCTTAAAGCTAGGCACAAACGAGCTTACACTAAGTATGCATGCTTACAGTCTTATCTTGGAGCAATGAAATTCTGCAATTTAAATGAATGCTGCTGCCCGCCTGTACAGTCATATTTGTGGGTTGTCCGACACGCTGCACGTCCTCAAAATGGGGGCCATATCTGTAAGAAAAGTGAGCCATATGTGATGTAAGTAAAACGTGTGCAGACACACAAACATATATATAGAGAGAGACCGATGTGGTTATGGTATGCATTTTTATTGGTCAGCAGGTGTATGCAGGTAAGCCTAGGCGCGCGCACACACACACACACACACAGACTGCCAGTTAGTGACTCGGAGTTTGTGTGCCCTTATGCTTAATGTTTATTGCTTGTAGCAAAAGTCTTAAAAACTTGAGTTTTAAGCACGTTTTACACAGCAAGGACCTTCGGTAAACTGTTTTTATTGCCGCTTGTCGGGGCTAAAAATTTCTTTTTTTTTTCTGTGTAAGTTTCACAAGTTTGTGGGCGAACTGTTCTTTGAATTCTATTTACAGTCCAATTATTATGAAAATTATAGATTTGTTGTGTAATTACAGGCTTAGGAGTACTTTAACCTCAATGGCAAAATGCTCTAATTTTATTATTGGGTTGCTGGTTTTTATTATTTATACGAATTGCATAGAAACTGAATAAAGAGCTAACTGGAGCAAGGTGTTCCATTAAAAGCCGAAGTTAATCAATATTCCTTTCCGATAATTTCATAAATATTTCATATTCATAATTCAGCAGAAATTTCAAAAGAATGTGGAGCTCGGAAAAAAACAAACTTCTCGGAACCAGTTTATTCGGACTTCATTAAAGTATATACTGTTTCGTATTTAGGACTTAATTTATTAGATTTTAAGATTGAAAAGAGAATTATTCTCTCAATTATTCTGTTCGTAATTGTAGAGTCAATAAAACTTTACTCGATACAAAAATCTAAACTACTTTCCCATATCTGAAATAGGATTCATTTGGTTCAAAAATAGATTATTATATAAAAAATAGAAAAACTAAAAATAAAGAAATCTATAGACCGTTTGAACAGTATCTTGTGATGAGTTTAACGAGGCTTAAAGCCCAAGACAAATTAAATAAAATATCAAGATTTTTATCTCCCGACTAAAGAAGTTGGCTCCTACTTGGGAATAAAGGTTAAGTTTACTTAAGAGATTCGCGAGATTCCCGACTTGTTTTTCTCGCAGTGCAGAGTTAAGGTTTAGGCTTAAATGAATAGTATATTAGGGAATAGAGACTGAAATCTTGCAGTTGAACCAACCTTTGATCGTGATGATGATGTTTGTTAGCCGCTGAGAAGGTATCGAAGATATAGTTGAGCATGGGTGCATCGGTTTTCTGCTGCTTGGGCAGAATATATTTGCTCTCCACCTTCCTGGCCGAGGTGCGCACTGGGGACTTATCCGCACCGCTCGCTATCGATGGGGTTGGCATGGCCAGGGAGCCATTGCCAGCGACCTGTTGGCCGCTGGAGCCCTCAGTGCTGGCCATTGTGGTCGCTGGCACATTTCCATTGACGCGCTGTGAGCCAATTTGTTGAAATGTGCCACCAGCTGCGGCGCCACCGAAGCTGATGGAGTTTTTCAGACTTGATGCGCTCTTCTCGCGTTGCACAGCGGCTGCTGTTGCTGGTGCTGGTGCTCGTGATGTTGATGTTTGATACGAACTAAGCTGCGATAAGGACAATAAATCTTGTGTTTTTGCATTCATTAGTTGTCTGCCATTCGCTGTGGCGGCCGGCGCGGCAGACGTTGCTTTTGGTGCTCTTCTCTCATTTTTCTCGTTTGTTATATTGTGCCACTTGCTCTGCTCCTGCTCCTGCTCCCGCTCCTGCTCCTGCTCCTGCTCCATGGCAATGATGTAATCATTGGCCGACTTCTGAACGTCATCGGCATCAGCATCAGCATCAGCATCCGCATCAAAGGCAGCAGCTGCTCCTGCTCCCACAGCGGTATAGGAATTATCGATTTCATTGGAATCTGTGTCGCATAATGAAAGACAAGACAAAATTGAGTTTAAGGTCATTTGGCGAGCTGGTAAAAAGAATAGAAACCATGTACTTTGATACCCTAAAAAAGGAATCCATACTATATTAAGGATAGCCTATTGCAGAACCGAACTCTGGAACCTTTTGTCTACAGAACTATTGCGCCAAGACTGCGTCTTCTTCTTAAGGATTCATGGTCTTATTAATGAAGCTTGTTTTTGTTGTGCCTTCAGGGAATATTTACTTAATGCTTAAAAAAAAAGTTCGACCTACTTCCTTGCTGGCATATTTATATCCTTGGCAATTTGAGCTGCCAGGGTATTTAGTTTTCGTCCCGCCCACGCATATCTTTGTTTCCTTTTTGAAACTGAGACTTGATTAATATGTTGCAATCAAGTTTCAACGTTTCTCTACGGCGGGGGTCAATTGTGCTCGTGTTAGGTTAAAGCTGCCAATGATTTTTGCTCAACAAAAAAGTATGGAAAGAAAGTATCGTAAGCTTTTCCAAAAATTACTTTAGATTAATGAGTCTATAAATAACATGATCTTACTTATTTTTTATTTATTGCTTGTGTTTAACACATAATGGCCCAGAAAAGTGCAAGGAGCTTGGAAAGATTTTTTGCTAACAAGCGAGAAAAATGCTTAATTTTCCATTAAATATATTCGCTTGCGTTACGAGAGAGAGAGAGAGAGAGAGAGAGAGAGAGAAAAGTGGGAAAAGTTGGGCTTTCAATTGACAAAGATCTGGACTTAATTACAGGAAAGTAAGCTCAAGGTCGTCGAAACACAGCAAAAGCTTTTGAGTGGGGGCATGCCTGGATGGCTTTCGGTTGGTTTCAATTTAGATAGCACATATTCTGGATAACCGCACAATTGACTAGCCGTTACTTACCATGGCTAACACGTAACGTTGTGGCCAACTGCATGTGCGGCTGCTGCTGCTGCTGCTGTGTGCGTGTGTGCGTGGGTGTGGCTGTGGGTGTGGGTGTGGGTGTGTTCGTGGTAAATTGAAATCCTGCGGATTGCATTGTTGTTGCCGCTGGCAATTTGGCAACTGCAGCTGCAGCTGCAGCCAGCATTGAGGAGACGTCGTCGGCTGACAGCTGCCCCTCCTCCAGCTGGCGACCACGAAGCGCGTCCATGCTGGCCACCGAGTGAGCCTCTGCCTGGAGCGTACCGCGGCCCATGGCGCTAGCGGTGCAGACGATTGTTGTTGTTAGTATAAATAATTGTATTAAATTGCAAATAAAACATTCAGTTTGGCGTGTTGCAGGCTTTGTTGTTGTTGTTGTTTTTCTTGCTGTTGTTGTTGTTGTTGTTGTTGCTGCGGTTGAAGCTTGAAGCGTTTGTTTCGTTTTGGTTTTAATGCGTGTTGCTGCTGTTGTTGTTGTTGTTGTTGTTGTTGCACTTAAACGCATTTTGTATTCGTGAATTCCTGCGTGGAATTTGGCTTAACTAAAACACATTTCACAAACTGCATTTGAGCTGGTTTCCACACACTGATCCCAGCCGCTTGTTGCCACTTATAAAAACAGTTATTGTTTTTAATATTTGTTGGCCTATTTTTTTCTCATTTGCATTTGCATTTGTTGCTGTTGCTGTTCTTGCTAAAACATGGTTAAATAATATTTAATTGATAATTTTGTGTGTTGTAAATGAAATCAGTTCGCTTTCAAATATTCATTTTAATATTTGCCAAATGGTTGATTGTTTAATATTTAATGCAATTGCAATTGCACGTTTCACATTTCTTTCTCGCTCACTGCCCCATAATATGCCACACATAATTGAATTGGCTTAGTCGTCTGTAATTATTTAGAAATACAAAATATTTCCATTGAATAAATACGGCTTAAGCTGGCCAAAGTAGGCGTTGGGTCTATGCTATTTGTGATTTGCTGTTCTTTGTTGGCCCAAATAACTTTTCCAGTTAGCAGAAACAGACAGACATGTGTTCGACTTGCTGTGACGGCAAGGCCTCTTGGCCATAAACTAAATTTTGTACTAGGCTTTTGCTTTTATGCTGCAAATGCCTTTCAGCCTTTATGCCATAAACATGTATTTATTTGTGTGTGTGTGTGTGTGTGTGTGTAGGGCTCACATTACGGGCGCAGCATAAAGGCAAAAAAGAACCTGTACAATATATTGACAAGCCTAGGCATTGCATGTTTGCTGTTCTTTTACGTTTTGTTTTCTGCAGCTGCATTCATAACAAATTCTCATAAATTCGGATATGCTGATTTATAAAAGTCAGAGCACACCAGGCAGCTGTCCAACAAACCGCGCGGGTTTTTGCAACGGTGCCATAAAAATAAAAATGTAAATTAGCGCAAAATGGTTTTTGGGCAACAAAAAAAAAAAAAATAAAATAAAATATGTTACAGCTATTCAAGGGATTTTTGGCTTTACAGCCCGATATCCGTGCCACATAGAAATTGTTTTAATTTCGCATTCGTATTTCCTATTCCATCGCACACGCACACTCAGCTAAAATATCTTAAAGATACATTTTTGTTGGGGCACCGCGAACTTTTCTTGAGGGCATAAAACCGCGACAACAAATCCCATTTATGAGCTACGCCCAGTTTATTTATTTTATTTATTTTTGTGTTTCTATTGCGATTCTTTGTGATTTGAAGCGCTTTCAGCTTTGGCCAAATCTTGTCCCGAACTTGGCATAAATATTTATTTTGTCTAACTTGGCACTGGTTTCTCTCTTTACAGCCACAATTATTTGTTATTATTATTTTTGTTGTTGCTATTACAATTTCATGACATGCACAAAAAATTAGCATTTCCTTTGCAACACACACACACACTCACACACACACACGCACAGAATCAGAGCCAAACTTTTTTGAATATGAAATCTAAATAGTTGCGACTTCACGTTGTGTTGTTTTACACGCAAGTTTGGCCATCTACAAGCGCCTCGACGAGATTCGGGGATACGCTAGACACGTTCAGCCGGGTGCGCCTTTTGGGTAAAACGTCAACACGCCGTTACACTTCGTTTATGACTGTCCATCTGAAGGCAGCCAAATCAGTGGATTGTTGAATTTGAATTGTTGTTGACTTGCCGAACTCGTCAAAGCTGCGAAATCTCTGTCTCGTTAACCGAGCTTCGGCTCTGGCTCGGGGTAATGCGGAGCGGCCAATGTTGCTTTCGTTAAGTTTGTTGAATTTGCCGCGCGTGTTGAGTTTATTTACTCCGAATTTGTTAGGGGTTGTGTGGTGACAAGGTTAGGCATAAATTCGGTAAAGCAGTGCACTTTAGGTGGAATTGTTCTTGAAATATTTGGGATTCATTAGACTTAGTATTTAATTGTTTTTCTGATTTTTCATTATTTGGCATTATCTTTCCCCCTCTTACGCTCTATCTTAAATTATAGCTATTTAGAGCCGGGTCTTGCCTTTAAAGCTATGCATATTGGCATAATTCGTATTGTTCGTAATTTATAATGGACTATTTTAAATACATCCTTTACTCAGTACACTTACTCTGTTATACAGAGGCAACTTGTATGTTCGACAAGAACACTTCTACGTATAATAGTATAACAGCTCGTACTTAACCAGAGATGGCGCCATCTGCAGCATTAAACCGTTTTATGCCAATTCGCTTGCAGAGCCCACTCAACATTCTCGCTCCATCTCAGCGTGCGCTCTCTCTTTATACCAATCTCTCCATCTGCAACTGTTGTGGCTGCTGTGTTATCAGAAACGCTTGGATGCTGGTCGGGTGCAGACGTCCTTCGGCCTTGACAGTGTTATAGTCGAGTGCTAGAATAAATTGCTGCAACTAGTTTAAAGTGCGGAAAACGTCTCGGCTGAATGAAAAAATTTTAAGTTTCCCTCATAATATACACACACAACCTGAGTAACGTGCTAAGAATAAGGCAATAACGATATTGGCCAGTGTTTTTTTTTGTTTTTTGACAATCAAGACAAAGCAGACACCACGCACAGCAGAATTGAAGCGTTCTAATGAATACATAAGTATACACACACACACACACACACACACATCCATACATACATATATACACAAACGTGAAAAGAAAAGTTGTTTTAGGTCAAACAAAAGCCAAAGCGAAGCAAAAAACGAAAAAAATTCGAACATTACGGATAATTTAAGAGAGCGCGAACAAAGGCCAAAAATAATGAAAATCAATTGGAAAAACCTTTAAAAAGCCAGCCTGAGAAAATTAAGGATCAACTAAAGCTGAGACGCGTAAGTAATTAATTATGCATGCTGTGCGTGTGTCTGTGTGTGTGTGAGTGTGTGTCTGTGTGTGTGTATTAATTATACTCAAATGTTTGTTATATAAAAGAACGTGTGTCTGGGAAAACTTGGCGCTGGTTCTAGGCGCTACTCACACGTCTCCTTTAATTTGCAGGTGTCTGCACACCTGAAAAGCTCTTGTTATCAGATCCTTCAGCTCGCCTCCCGCCTCCCGCCTCCAGTTGGGATTTGTGCTAATTGTCCGATGTGTGTGGGCTGCTCCCCCCGACAAGTGGCTGCTGTTGTTGCTCCATAAGATCTGTTTGCAGCTACACTTGCCACTGACATTGTTGTTGTACCTCTTGTTGTTGTTGTTGTTGTCGTTGCCGAGTCTTGTTGTGTGCACAATTAGTTCTGTGTGTGCATACACACGCCCAGCCGCAGCGCCTACTTGAACTGGGCGCTGTCTTAACAGCCCCGAGTCACGCACAGATGACCTTCCCATGCAAGACACAAACAACAGGTGGATGTGGCAAGTTCTTAACAACTATTGTTACTTATTGGTAGCCGCCAGGTTGTGGGGTCGACAGCATTTTGCAATTCTAATTAGTAAAAACTAAATTCTAATTAGTAAACTAAATTGAACCTCATTCAAAAGCCTTCAATATTTCCTAATAATAATCATATATGTTCAATAAACTTTACATGAAATAAATTTGCTAGTTCAGGAAAAACTTAAAGGGTATCTTCTAGTCGATCATTCATGATTTGAGCACTCTAACTTGTAAACAGAAAACTTGTAGTTTACGTCTAGTATGTTAACTTAAGCTATATTATCTTATATAAAGTCCAAGTCAACTTGTAGAAAATTATGAATTGTTGTTATATTTTGACAAAGTTTAGCTTGAGTTTTCTTTTATGTGAGTCGAAACTGAAGATTTGTAATCTTAATATAATAATTAATATTTTCGTTAAGCTTAGGTAATGTTTTTAAATAAACCATGCTCATAAATCTCCTGTCGTCTTTCATATCGTTCTCTTAAAGCTTTAATTATAATCAAGTTAAAATATAAATAGAAAATATTGCATAGTCGCCTTGACTTTTTGTAGGATAACTTGCAGTCCTTTATGTCGTGTCCTTTGACAACAAAGAACTGATTGTCCCATTCAGAGAGAGTTGCCTGGCTTTCTAATGGTGCCTTTTGTTTGTCCTGCAGCGCATCCGTTGATGAGCAGCTCGTTGGCTATAAATACACCGCAGAGCGAGACGTCAATGCGGTTGTAATGCCGTCACGTCGCAGCGGTGGTGTTGGCACCACACGGCGCAAGCACTCGGTGGGCAATCTGCGCAGGGCGCATCCGGCCTCTGGTGCCACATGGAATGTGCAGGTGGTGCGCGGCAAGATGTCCTCGAAATGCTTGTGGCACGCGTGCCGGGCACTAATATTGGGCCTGGCCCTCATGATGGTGGGCGCTGGCATGGCCACGCTGGGCTACTATGCGGATCATCTGTCCATGGGCTCCGAGCTGCGTGGCAATGTTACGGTGCGTGTCAAGAACGATCTGAAGGGCTTTCATTTGAACAATTTCGCATATGTGGGACCCATTGTCATGGGCTTCGGCGGCTTCATTGTCGTCGCCTCCTGTGTGATGACCTTCGAGGCACGCGACTCCGCGGCCAAGGTGGTGCCGGCACGTCTCCGCGCTGGCGGCGGCAGCTGCAACAAAACGACAGCGCGCAGCAATCAAGGCAGCTCCGCCTCGCAGCGCCGTGGCATGGGTAAGTCATAGATTTGGATTTGGCCAGCTGGCTGCTGCTTATTGCTGCTCCCGCTCTGACACAGGTGCTCAGTATCAGACGACGCGCTGGGATCAGCATTTTGGCGTCTTCCGCTCCTCGCCCGGCGATCCACATCAGCAGCTGCAGGCGGTGGCTGGTGCGGCTGGCGCTGGTCAGCAGCAGGCGCAGCCTTTTGATCGCGAGGCTCTCACCGCGGAGCTCATCAACTTCTCCAAGTCACTCAGGTACTTTTGCCATGTCCTAATTAGTGCACACTGAATTCACATAAGCATCGCATACTCTGTAAATTTGTATATAAAATATTGGCTGCCTCATGCTGTCTCTCTCTCTCTCTCTCTCTCTCTCTCTCTGTCTCTGACGCTCTCATGCATTATCTTTCTCATGAATGCTTTGCATCTGCCATTAGCGCATCCACACGCTTCTCGCCACAGCTGCGCCGTCTCACCTTCACTGGTTCCGTGCCCAATCTGTCTACCATCCGTGCAAACGCTCATCCAACCGCCTGCATCGACACTAATCACTCCAATCTGTTCTTGCCGCATCCCAAAATGCCGCTGGAACTGCTACTACAACAACAACAACAACAACAACAACAACAAATGTGCTGTAAACGGCATCACCATCATCGCCATCACCAACACAAACAACGCAAACAACAAACGTCCACCTCGAGCAGCAGCGTCCGGCGCGTGCGTCAAACGCGCACAGCCACCGCCCCCGGCGGCGGCAACGGGGTTGGCGTCGGCGGTTTCGGCTCCGGCGGCTCGAATGCACGCCTCATCAGCAACTCATCCAGTTTGATACAGCGCGCGACCAGAGAGTATGCCGCCTGCACCTTACTGCAGCCGCCGGCAGCCAGCCGCGTTTACTGGCAAGCCTCGTCCTTTGATGCCGGCATAGGCGCAAGCTCAACTCACGGCTCTGCTGGCGGCGAGAAGCGCGCTGAGCGCAACAAACGCTCCGATACAGCCAAACGTCATGTGCTGGCACGTCAGCGACCCATCGAGCATGAGGAGGCTGCAGCGGCGGCAGCGGCAGCTGCCCGTGATCGGGAGCGTTGCAGTCCGCTGGGACACAGGCGGTAAGTTCGGTTCCCAACACTACCTTAAAGCTTTAAAGCCACAGTACACATGCTTAACAGCACTGCATAATAGTTAATAAGTTTGAAATCTATTGAAAGCAAACGAAAGCTTTCAGCTAAAAACTGAACTCATAATTTGATGCTATTATTATGGCTTAAAGAGCAACATACACGCAAAACACATGTTTATCAACACTGCACATTGTTTACAGTCTTAAAGGCACATGAAAGCTTAAGTTCAGCTCCAATGACAGTTTACTGTTGCTCATGCTAACCAACACTGACTATTGTTAAGAGTTCGGAAAGCACATTAAAGCTTTAGTTCAGTTAAAAGCTTCAACGACTATTTGATATTGTTCATCTCTCGCTCAAACCAGTTGCGAATTGTTTAAAGCTGTAGAGCTTTTGCAAAAGCTTTCTTAAATTCAAAGCACATTTTCCACCAACTTTTCCTGCACATCTGCAACCTATTTTCAGCAACTCAACCATGTCAGACTCGTCGTATAGCGGCCGCTGGACGGCGCGTTGTGCTTCGGTAGCGAGTCGCACTTCGAGCATTGATTCACGGCGTATCCAGGTGGATCTGCACAGTCCGGAAGTGATGCCCAAGTCAATACTGCGCTCGCCCAAACGCTACAGTTCCGGCCCCTCGGCGACGCCATCAGTTGAGAAGGAGTTCCGGTAAGCGTGCCGCATTATCATATCCACAGCACAAACGATTTACCAACCGTGAAACTGTATGCCTTACAGCAGCCAATTGTCGGTCTGTTCAGAGCCGCCTCCACCCGTGCGTCAGCTGTCGGGACAGTCTAGCATGGAGCCGGCTGTGCCGGAGGAGAGTGTGGAGCTCATCGACGAGCGTGTCGCGATTGAGTGCCACAGCAACAGCGAGTGCAACGTGGCCTACAGCGAGATCAGCGAGCTGGTGCATCATACGCACAGCCTACCGCCAAAGAAACAGCGACCCGACTTTTTGCCGCTGGGCGGCAGCTCAGATCAGCCACAGCAGCAGCAACAACAACAGCAACAACAACAAGAACAGCAACTGCAGCGTGAACGAGAGCGGGAGCAGAAGACGACACTATATAGAAGCAACAGTTCCAGGCAATTCTATCGGCCCAAGCCGGCCATAGCCAAGGATCGGGATGATTCGGTTTTCTATATACGCTCACTGGAGCGTGCCGGCAGCGCGGCCAGCGGCGATGATCACATGTACGATTCGCTAAAGGTGATCAATGAGCGTCGCACCACCCTGCTAAAGGCCGATTCGCAGAGCTCGTTGGGCTCCGCGGAGCGCAAGCTGAGCAGCTTTTCGCTCAAGATGCCGGACATAACGGAGCGCGAGAATTCCATAGATATAGAGGACGGACCTCCGATAACACAGTCAATCGTAGAGCTTGAGAAAAACCCAGATGAAACTTGAATATTGACCTAGATAATATAAATATGTGTGTGTGTGTGTGTGTGCGCGTGTGTGTGTTGTGTGTATCGATAAGGTGTATTGGATATTTAACCAACGACAGTTACTTTAGCACGGATCTATTATAATGTTGGGGAAAAACAGAGATTTTTTGATAAGCCAGCAAAAATTGGTACACCGAATTTGAATTTAAGTTAAGTACAGAAATACGATATCAAAATACCCTTACTTTCACTTTCGCGAATCAAATCTATTTGAGAAAATCGTTAACTATGAATCGTTATCTGTGTTGCCCTAGGCGCTAATCGATGTATTACGAATTAACTATTTTATATATGTATTTATGTGTTTCAAATTGTAGTCTTCCCGCTGTTGAATTGTTAATGTAACTACAAAAAAAATAATAAGAAATCGAATATAACATTGTTATATGTTAAAATGCATTCTATGGATATAAACGAGCTTTTAATAATTAAGCGCTCCGAACCCGATTCCGGCTGTATTCTGTTTCCTCTGTCTAAGCCACAAGAAACCAAATGCTTAAGAATTCAATTTGAAATTGTATATAAGAAACTAAATGTAATATTACAATCAGCTTACAAGCGAAGACTGATGTTCGTAAATTTATGTTCTCAAAGTTCTGAAAAAATGTCAATTTCTGTTCAAATACAATGAAAAACCAATAAGCAATTATAATTATTTATAATGCACAGAGTGCAACAAATTAACAAAATTATGTTTCAAGTGTTCCACAACTTAAACATTATAAAGCGAAAAAACAAAAAAAAAAAAACATCAGAAAATCCGAATATCAGCTAACTTTGGTTTACTGAAGTTTATCAGAGTTAATATATCAAATATTTTCACAGAAGGTTTGCAGCAATTTCTACCAACGTAATTATTGATAATCATATAAAACAATAATGTAAAGTATATACTTTACATATTAATTATACACACATAAATATGTATTTTATATCTGAGTGTTAATTTATAAATCGAAAACGAAATCGAACACAAGAAATGTTTCTTAATCCATGTTTCTTATAAATGTGTTGAACAAAAATTTAGTGCAGTCAGGCATTGACACTAAAAGAAATACGAAGGAATTTGTACTTATGAAAATATCAGAAAAAAAAAAAAAAACAAAAACAATGCTAAATGTTTGTTATACGTACTCATTATTGATGTGCAAAGAGTTTTATATTAACTGTTTATTGCATGGGAGATTCAAATTCATTAGAAATGCAAACAATATTTATATTAATAAAAGGAATTATATGTGTGTGTTAAAATTGAGAGACTTGAAAATTACTTCAAATATTTTATCAATCAAATTTTTCAAATTTACAGAATGTAAACAGGACTTTCTTTCGTTAAGTGTGTAATATATTTTATTAATTTGTTTTTGTTTTGTGGAGCAGCGTTTCGTTTGGTGTGGAGCAATTCTGTTATTTAACATAGCTTGCCAGAGCAAGCGCAATGTTAGCTCGCATCACAATTGTTGTTGTCCACGCCATACACACAATTCTGCGGAATTTTTAGTTTAATAGCAATTGACGATCTACGACCAAACTTGCCCAAGTTTGGAATACATTCTGCCTAACACGATTCCCCTTCCGTAGCAAATAAGCAAACGAAATAAAATGGTATTTGGGTAAGTTACAGCAAATTGTCTTTCACCAAATTACGTAACCTTAAAGCTTACCCATTGATCCATGTTAGACTTTTGGTGCGGTGCGGTGTAGTCGCTGGCGCTGTCTACTACACCCGCCAGGCTGGTGTCTGGGGCAGCACGGATGAAACGGATAAGCTATACAAAAATGTGAAGGCACAGCTGACTCCATATGTGCAGCAGGCAAAAGAGCGGCTTCCTTTCGAGGTGCCTGAACTGCCAAGGGTGGGCGAGATGCGCTTCCTGGCCAAACACTACTACAACGAGGGCGTCAAGAGCTCCTTTCGGTTTATCCACATGCTGCCCTGCTATGCGGGCCGAGGCCTCAAGAAGGTGAAAGACACAATTGAGGAATTTGCCAAGGCACCCGCGATAAGCGCCAGCAGCGAGAAGCCGGCGACGGAAGCGGCGACGAAGTAGTCCAATAGATGCTCTGCTTATCTATCTATTCAGTAGAAGGCTGTTTTCATGTGTTAGTTCATAGCTAGTCTATTGAATATTATGTTTATATACCATTTCACCCCCAAGACAATTGTCGAGTAGCTCTGCGTGGGGTTGAAGATGTCAAAAGCAATTCTTTGCTATAAAATACTTATTTACCTCTTTTTTTGTGTGGAATACTTAAGCGGATTGCGCTCGTTCTTTTATTCTAGCAATAAACAATATTATGTCTTAAGCGTGAAAGCCGCCTAGAAAACGTATTAGGCATTATTTAATTTAACATAAACCAATGCGTTCGCAACTATTACAATTTTGTAAATCTAAATATACGAAAATTCTAAATTGTTAACCTAAACGAGTTCTCAGCGTGATAAACTTGTATTATTTAAAGAGTCGCGACAGATAAAAAACAAGTCATTGCTCTTAATTTATTATAAAGAAATCTAATGTTTGGCCAACAAATAGACAAACCATGATGACGAGGGTAAAAAGATGGTAGCTGGGATGAGCAATACGCGAATGGAGCAGGCTGTCTTGTACTTAGCCATAGGTGATCCCCAGACGGTATCAAATGCTAAAGATTGACTCAGAGATATCACATTTAATTAATATAAATTATTCATTCTTTAAATATATTCTACTAGATAACCAGAGCAATGAGATAACACCTATAAATGGCAATTATTGGCAAGCACTTTCGTGCAATCGAATTAAATTGAGAAAGAAAGAAGCTTCTGGACAAAGATGTTATCTGCCCAAGTAAAATCTTGCTACCCTTCAACCAGGAAGTCGAGCATCTCTTAGGGCTTCACAGGCACAATAGATCATCTCGGACGCAGTGTTCCGCCCCCTGCATCTCTCTATTGCCAGACACCCCTTACATTATTAATATTATTTATAGTTAAGTATGTTCTTCAACAAGTAGTATTACTTTTATACCCTCATCTTATTTTAAGCTAGGCTTCTTTAATGCATATGATCAGCATCTATAGTCCGATATATTTGCTGTTAAGAGTGCAAGCAATTTTCCAGATTGTCAATCACTATAATATCTGGTGTATATTGTTGTCAAACAAGCTTCGCGGAGCAACTGGTTGCTGATAAACAATAAAGAATATTGGGGCAGGCTGTGCACGGAGCGTTTCGCTGGCAAACGTCACTCATCTCGGCGCATCAGATATTGACCGACTGAGTCATTGATTAAGCCGTAGAGAATGAAGGTTGTCGGCCGGCTGGCATTTCCAGATTACGGCCAATTACAGTGGCAGTCGGGCTTCCGTTGTGATTTGGTTTACTGTAAAGTAGATATTACGCATACGCCGCGTATGTCTAAATATCAGACATTAAACATGGCTTTGTACGGCTCATTGGGGCAAATAAAACAAAGCTAACAAAGCGTACTATATACGGAACAGACGTCACCTGGAGGTAAACGTGTGCCGCGCACTGATAACAGCCAGCTCTGCCAGTCGTATCCCTAATTGTGGAGCACTTGAGTGCGCCCAAAAATACACCAGCCGGGCGATAAAAAAAACCCCAGTTTAGGACAATTGCTGCAGTTTGATGTAACTGTCACGGTTTTAATTTTAGCAATGGTCGCAGCCAGCCACTTGAGTTCGGGCTCTGATTATCTTTGGACGGGGGCAAAATATGAATTTTGATTTTTTTTTTAATTTAGAGTATTTGTCATGTCTATTTATGATATTTGCCTATATTCTCGCGTTGCTGCCAACAACTATTTACTCGGCACACAAGCACTTTTTAATTAATAAAACGTTTTTGTGTTTTATTTTCTTGCTTGTTTATTGGCCCAGTTAAGCGGCACCAAACACAAGTAACTGTCGGCCACAAAGTTGTCAACTCTCGTCTCGCTGACAGGCAGCAGATAAAAATTTACTACTCACACCACCCCCGGATCAGGCCCTGCTCCCTGGTTGGCCATGAGTCATGCTATGGCAAAGATAATGTCAAGATCTAGATCTTGGTACAGCGGCTGCTGTGGTAAGGCTGGCGGCAAAAGTACAAAAGACTCGCTATGAATCGAATTATATCACGTGTTTAATAATAAAACGAATTTTCATTTCAACTTGTTAATAATTAAATTTGTTTTGGTAAGTGCAAATGGTCAATATTTGCCAGCCAGTTGAAAGCAAATATAAAATCACATTTTCGGCGACCCATAAAAAACGACAAACACACCACAAAAAAGCAAAAAAAAAAAAAAATAAAAAAAAAACAATATGCAAATAAATAAAAGCTTAACCTCTAAATGGGCGAAAACATGTATACGCCATGTTGTGCCGCCCCTCCCCAAGCCAGACACAACAAGCAACACCTCAGAGACCTACAACGATCTCGAGGCCGCAAGGAGAGCAAATGTTGTATGAGCATACACACACCTGACACACACACCCACACACACACACACACACACACACACACACACACACGCACGCGCACACACTGTCAGTGATAAGCAAATTTCTTTTCGACATTGCGCATACGCCGCCGCGCGTGACGACACAAGAAAGCGTCTGACTATATAAGAAATAAGAGAAAATCGTGTTTATTTGTTTATTTGGCGCACAATAATTAAAAATGCTTTCTTGTTTAGTTTAATTAAAGCACTGATAAACAAAATATATACGTTGACTTGGTCAACAAATAAATTGACGCAGATTCAAAGTTCAATATGAAGTTGCCAACTGCATAAATAATTAATTTACAATTTTTGCAGAAAATTGCACTACGATAACAGAAGAGGTTTTACGGCAAATACAACAGATTATGGTCCTATATTATTTGGGCATTATTTGCAGAAACTAAACACATCTACCGCTGTTCGTGTGCTTTATAAGCTTAAGTTTATGATGCTTAAATTATGTGTTTTAAGTCGCTTTTAGGTTAAAGTAAACCATTTGTCAGTTTCAAAAATCTGTTATCTAATTGACGTGCGTCGTGTTGGGTCCAAACTAAGAAGGCACATTCATGGGAAAAGAGTTATAAAGTGTATATTATATATATAAATAATAATAATGCTACCCAGCTCTAGACCCTGCATATTGTAGCTGTTGCCAGGTCTTGGATTTAATTAAAGCTCGATTTATAATTTCGATTTGAGCATTCAATGTCTATGCAAACAAAAAAATCAATTAAACAAACAACACAGCAGACACGATCATGATCAGTGTGCTTTCAGCTACTGTCGCATCCATAGCAACAATGAACGTAATGTTATTAACTCATTTTGTTATTGGCCATTTGTGATATTCAATTATTGTCACACAAATATTTCTCTATGTCACGTCGCGGCTTTTACTGATTGTTGTTGTTGCTGCTTATTAAATTGCCAAACAATAGCGTTAAGAGGGCGACCTTTAAGCATAAGCCGGCAGCAGCATCGTATGCAAAAAGGTTTGTTCAACTAAACAAAATCGCATAAACAATGATTGTTCTTCAATAATTGTAAGCTGCTGATAAGAATTAAACAGTTTGCCAAAAGTTTGTTGAACTGCAAATCGCAGGCTGGCAGGCAGGCAACATCAGCAACAACAACAACAACAACAACAACAACAACATCGGCAACTTATATAATTAATTTATATGCTACATTCAATAATTAATTTGCTCAAATCATGTGCGTTCGTGCATTTGTTTAAACAACAGCAAAGCGTGTGCCTTGGGCAAATATTACAAACTGAAGCACCCAATCGCCAATCGCTTAATTACAATCCGATGTCGTATTGCCACAAACACCTGAGCACACACACACACACACACACACACACACACACATACATACTGCTAATCCATCAGATCAGGCAGCCCCCATTTGCCGCCCCCTTCTTCATCAAATAATATGGCTTAATATGCTAATGCTGCAACTAAGAAATGCTGCATCAATTTGCACATTCATAATTGTTGATGTGCATTAATTACGATTTCTACTATTTATTTGCGTTGACTAGAACGCATTTCCAAGACTCGGAGATACCGGTTTGCTTTATATTCAAACACACACTTATGTAATGCTTCCGAT